TAAAAACCCTATAGGGTCCCCTGAGCCCCTCCAAGAGTGATCCCTGTGCACAGAACCAGCAGTAAACCCTGAGTACATTTTGAGTGTGTCCAAATTCCAAAATAAGAAAAAAAAATTTAAGTTTTTTTTTCTTTAATACACGGGTCTGATGTAACAGCAAAATACCTATTAAGGAGAAACAGAAGCATTATCTGTGAAACAGAAGGAAGAAGGAACCTTTAGGAAGTGCCTTTATCCTCCCAACCTCTTTAAGAGGGAGAACATAGCACACCCCTCACCATTCACAATCCATCCATTACCAAGTATCTGAGCACACGCTAAGCCTGGGGCATGTCGAGAGGGGAGAGGAAATGGAGGAAATAGGAACAGCACGCATGGCTACTTTTTGAGAAATTTGGTTGATAATAGTAGGAAGAAAGGTTTCATAGTCAAGGAGAAAGCTGGGGGGGGGGAGCTGGGGGGGACACAGCATAGGTGCATTGGTAATTCCAGGAAAGAAGCAAAGAGAAAAGGAAAGGCAAATAATTAAAGAGACAGGACGGTAATTTATGGAATAAGGTTCCAGTACAAGTGCAAGATGAGTGATCAATGGGAAACTAAAGAAGTAGCAGCTTTATCTAGTTACTGCCTCTCTTCTCCAGTTACCCTTGGGAGGAGAAGTGCAAAGACTGAGATAGCAAGTGTCATGTGGCCCTCCAGGACAAAGCCCAAAGCAGGATACTGCTGTTCAGCGTGCCTGACCCTTTATCCTGCCCCAGGGGCCGAATGTGCCCAAGGAACCCAGAACCTCATAGATATTGGGGTAATCCCATGTGTAATCCCAATCCAGGTTTGGGGCCAAAGGGGAGGAAAAGGTTGGAATCCTAGCTTGCCCATGATTGGAACATTTTCTCTAGGAGTAGTTCTTGAGGTAGAGGCCCTGGTTCTTATTCCCCAAAAAAGGCACCACGCCAAGAGAAGCAGCTGGGAGATGACAGTGGGAGATCACAGGCCTGGAGGGAGCATAGCAGGAAAGACAGCACAACCAAGCTGGGAACATGGACACTGGTGAGCAAATGTGAACATCAGCGAGAACCCTTATGCAGATGGGGAGAACTAGGCTCAGAATGACTTAAAGGACCCTACCAAGTCGTCCCTGCATTGTCCCTTGAAAACCTGCTCAGGCTCAAGCTCTCACCTTGATATTCCCTGGGAATAAAACAACACCCCCTCTCCCTGGGTAGAATCTGCAAAACAATACCTCGAACCTCCGGGTAGGACTAAGCTGGAGCATCCAAAGCTTTTGGGGATCCAGAAGAAGGAAAAAGAGGAAATGCCCCCACCTGTGGGTCTCTGCGGTGAGGCCTTAGCAAAGAGAGCATCACTAAAGCTCCTGGCATTTGTAAGGCATTTTGGGGTCATGTGTATGCACTGACACTCTAATTTAAACTATGGTGACAGGTGCGAGAGGGACAGATTGGGCACTCGCCCTTGAGAACTCATAAAGGACTTGGCAGATGAGGTCACCGATCAACGTGTTCAGAACCATGACAGACTCTTGTGCAAAGGATGTAAGGGCACAGGAACGGGCCCCAAATCCTAAGAGGTTGAGGACAGTGCAAATATTATGAACATTTAACAATGAACACTCTGTGAGGTTGTAAAAAAACTTTTTTTTTTTACAAAGCAAGTTTGTCCTAATGGTCTTTTTTTCAAATGAGACATATTTGAACCACAGACTTGGCCTCTTAGAACTATGTGAAGTTGCGAACCCCTGTGTGGAGGGTAAGCCCTCTCTGGCCCGTGAAAGTTGGTGGTCCCCCCTCTGGAGGACCGTCTCACTCTGCCAAACCTGCTTACTCATTCCTGCGTTCCTCTTTCTCACCCAGCACTCTGCACCCACCGCCCTCCAGCCCTGCCAAGTGACTTTGCTTAAGAAGCTTCAAACCTCTTCCTGCATCGTACCTTTCCCCACAGCAGGGACCCAGCAGAGGCTCCCACTCAATTGTGGTCTCCAACCTCAGAGTTCACCCTAGTCATAGCCACGGGCATGGGAGGTCAGCCATGTGGGTGGCCCTGCTCCCCTCAGAACAGGAAGGAAGGCTGCACCCACCTTTGGGTGTTGGGTACTGGACTCACCTAGCGAAGTCCACAGCTCCACACTGGACACAGAAAGAATAAAAGTCCTTTCCTGGTAGGGACTCAACTCAAAGTCTCAAAGAAGAGAAGCCATGACCATTTGCAGCCTGGTCTCTTCCCTGGCTTCTTCCTGCCCGTCCCACAGTCACAGGGAATGTCTCACAGTTTTGTTGTTTTTTTCTTTATAGTTTTTGGGCCACACCCAGAGATTCTCAGTGGTTTACACTGGCTCTGCACTCAGGAATTACTCCTGGTAGTGCTTGGGGGCCCATATGGGGCTCTGGGGATCAAACCTGGGTCAGACAAGAGCAAGACAAATGCCCTACCCATTGTACTTATGCTCCGGTTCCTGTCTTGCCATTTCTTAAGAGCTCCAAGAACATGGAGTTTTCTCCCGTGGAAACTTCCTTACCTGCTTGCCCTCTCTGCGGCCTCCCTCTGACCAGTTCCATCCCAGATCTTCTGAATTCTGAACCTGGTGACACTTTTGCTCAGCTGTCTGTTTTTTTACACCGTCTCTCCCGTTTGGCCCCATGAAAATACTGAAAATTAGAAAATCTGGGGAATGTGCACTGTTGGAGGGATGGGTGTTTGATCATTGTGTGATTGTAACCCAAACATGAAAGCTTATAACTATCTCATGGGGATTCAATAAAATTTTTAAAAAAATTAGAAAAGCTTTACATTTGGGTTTCCAAGATTTCCTACTAGCCAAACACTTTTCCATCCTTTCTTCCTCTATCTTTCTATACAGGATGTTATAGGTCAGCAAGAGGCACACTTGAAATGATGTTTGATTCCATTCCGAGAATGAAAACCTGACTCTCTCCAAAGATAAAATTTAAACAAGCTGGAGCCTGGTCCATAGGCTCTATGCACCATAAATCCAAGTCAATCAGAAAGCTAGTAAAATTAAATAAAACCCCAGAGACCTCACAGTTTAGGAACCACGCTCTGAACATATTTCCTTCCTATATTTTCCTTCTATCAACATTCTAAATAATCTTTCAGAAGGGTTCCTGAAGGTCTGGGTTTCTATGGTTCAAACAGTCCCAGGACATTCAGGGCAAAAACCCACACATAACTAAAAAGAAGACATAAAAGTACAATTTTTAGGCACATTGTTCAATCCATGCCACCCCAAAATGGCCTTTGTTTTTCTTTGTGTTTTGTTTTGTTTTCAAACTTGCTTCTTTTCTGGGACTGAGTCCCCTACCTGCAGGAAAAGTCACTTCCAAACACTGAGTTCTAAGACAGGCATTTAAGAGCAACCAGGACAAAGCAAAATGAAGCCAGATCTTATCTGTTTAGGTGACTATCTAGCGCCCCCTGGTGTTCTGTGTCTGGGCACAATGAGCCAAAGGGCCACACCTCTGTGGGCTGGGTCCATGGACTCCTCCACCCAAGACCTGTGGCTAGCGAGTGAAAGTGACCGTAATGAGCTCACCTCCTTCTGCCAGCTATCGGGGAGGGATTAGAAAACTCTCTGAAGACCTTCCCAGCCCTTGTGGAGAAGCAACTGGGAACAGGTGCCTTGCAACAGGACAGGTGAATACACACCAGGCTCACCCAACTGACTCTACCAGAAAGACAGATCATTGTGTTCCTTCTGCTGGGTGTTTGGCTGAGGCATTTTCCTCCTGACTTAATGCCCAGGCCAGAGGCTTATAGCCTCTTTTTTTCCTCAAGGTAAATTTACTGTTCTGTTGAAAACAGTTTGAGCCCCAGAGGACACATTACAAGGCAGTTCTGAATGTGCTAAGTCAGTGGGTGTTAATGGGTACGGCATGCCCACTTCAGGATCTTCTCACCCCTGGCCATAAATAGTCTTTAATGGGCTCACCCAGAGGGCCTGTCACTGGTTCTTCCTTTTCTCTTGCCTGTTCCTCCAACTCCCGCTCCAGGACTAGATCCTGGAAGCCACATGACCAAGCTCTGCCCCTGGTATAAAAAGATACCTTCCCTGGCTGGCCCCCTCAGCACTGGACCTCAAAGTCAAAGTCAAGTTCCCACGTTAGTTCTGGTCACAGAACAGGATTTCCCTCAACAAACAGCATTGAACCTTGGTGGAATTCTGGCTCCTCTCAAAAAAGCTGGGTCCCACCCCCCCAACCCCCCCCCCCCACACACACACAAGACATAGACATAGAAATAAGTCACCCAAGGCTCTCTCAGTTTCAGTTTCCTTCTCTGCAAATGGAGACCTCAGACCTGAAGCAAGCCTGACCTGGATCAAAGCTTGAGTCTGCCAGGTCATGTGACAGACCAGCAGATGAAGGCTGTTTGTGTAGGCTGTCCCTCTATGTGGAGCTCTCCCTTCCTTCCATCACCCACCTCACACAACCTTCAGCCTCCAGTTGGGTTGCTCCAGGAGCACTTTGGCCATGCCCTGACCTTGGGCTTGTTTTCTTTGGAAATTCCCATATACCCGCTGAACTCTTTGATTTCAGCAGTGATGTGAGAGGGTCATTGGGACTTTGCTGATCTGGGTGGCCATTTAGTCCCCATGCGACAAGGAGGTTATCATCTTTGTCCATTCCTCCTTCCTTCTTTTTCTCCTTTTCCCTTTCTCCCCTCTCCCAGGTCTTGTTTAGGCTTCTGTTCTAGGGTTCTCTTCTCCCAAAGGAGGAGAATCTTTCACAAAGTATCCCCTGATGAGAATAAGAGAATTGGACCCCCCACTTCCATGGAAGAATCCCACTATAAGGCTCTGCCTTAGCCACTCCAGCCTCCTGAGGGCTTGTTGGTGCCATGCCTGGCACAGAGTAGCCACTTCCTTCTGCTTTTGAGCAAGTGGCGGAGCTGAGAGCCGAACACAGACAGGAGCCAGAAACTGCCCTGCCTGGTCCTGACAATTCTCCTTGTCACCACTGTCTTCCCAGGCCATGGAGGGCTGAACCAGCTTGGAGGGGCCTTTGTGAATGGCAGACCCCTGCCGGAGGTGGTGCGCCAACGCATCGTGGACCTGGCTCACCAGGGCGTGAGGCCCTGTGACATCTCCCGCCAGCTCCGGGTCAGCCATGGCTGTGTCAGCAAGATCCTTGGCAGGTAAGCACAAAATTCACCACATGTCCATTTGTCTGCAGGGCTTTGTCTTCCATGGGTCACCTGCAGCTACCCACCCTCCCAGGCTCACAGAGCCAATGGTAATGTTCAGTTTGGTCCATGGTGCAGTGCTACCTGTGGGCATCCACCTACGCTTACCTTCTGTTCTTTTCCTGCCTTTCCCTTCATCTTTGTCCACTCCTTTCCTTCTGTTTCTCTTTTTCCCTTTCTTCCCTCTCCCAGGTCTCATTTAGGTTTCTTCTCTAGGGTTCTCTTTTCCCAAAGCAGGAGAATCTTTCACAAAGTGTCCCCTGATAAGAACAGAGAACAAGAGCGTGTCCCCCTTGCCCCCTTCCCCGCCCCCGGGAGGAATCCCACTATAAGGCTGCAGGGTTGAAGCCCTGCAGGAGGGAAGTCTGGGTTGGTGCATCTCACACTATAACTCTCAGAGCACCTGCAGCAAAAGCCCTGAGGCTATTGGAGGGCATGCAGACCCTGTGGCCTGGACAGCATCTGCTTTTTTGGGATCCACAATTTTATGACATGCCAGTGGCCCCGGGAACAGGAAATATGGGGAACCAGTGACCTACCAAGCCCCAGATCTGTAACGCACAGCTCATTAGGAGTTGAACCAAAAGAATCTTGGCCCCGGGGCCCTCTGATTAAAGCAGAACTTGCGGCAAGTGAGCTTAAGTGTTGGTACAGCAGGAAAGTCCCCTTGAACGATTCTGATTTTCTGTTGCCAGAGTTGAGACACACTGATCCATATGTACAAGAGGGATAAAGAATAAGCCTGGTCTGACCTTACTGCATACTCTCCTCTGATATCTACTTCCATCAGAAACATTCTGGCCTGTGGGATCAGGGCTTGGCTCAGTGTGTTTGCCTCCTTTCCCAGGACTTTCGTATTCAAATAAGCATAAGGCAGAGGTCTATGGTCTGCAGTCCTGACCTTCTGGTTGAAATTTGTATGGGACAGTGTGCTCAGGTGTCCCAACCATGCAGACAGGAGAGAACTCTCCAGCTGGGCTGCAGTCACCCACAAAGAAAGGTCCTGCATAATGGGAAGGACCATGATGCTGAAAAAGCCAAGTTACATTCAGGGCAGTAGAGACCACGGTACTTAAGACACCAGATTGCTTTCAGAGGCCAGAGAGTGTCTCCCACAAGGAGAGGGGCATACCCTACTAATGTCAGACACTGATCTGCCAGAACAGCTCATTGGGGGAAGGGGGCTTTGGAGAAAGATGTGTGTGTGTGTGGGGGGGGGGGGGCTTAAGGAGTTGGATGTAACCAGAATCTAGTGTCTACAAGGAGTGACCTCAAGGTGAATTGTATGACCTGGTAGAAAACCAGCAAGTGGAAGAGGTTTTGGTCAGGGTGGGGAGCAAGGGGGAGCCCTTCAGTCAAGACACAGGGCCCCTGGAGCACAGCTGGCTGCCTTGGTAAGGTCAAGATGGAATGACCAAGAGAAACCAGGCAGAACAAAGCGCCTTAGTGGAGCTGGGAACCACACATAGCAGGAACAGAAGACAGATGCTTCTAAGGCGACTCCTGCCAGGCCTGAGGGGAGGCATGGCGCGAAGCCAGCAGCAGGTGAGGGCTTCAGCAGAGGGTTCTGATTTGGCAGCAATATCAACCTACCCAAGCAAGGGAAACAGGCAGTGCTGGGAACATCAAGCACTTGGGGCTGGTTTGACCCCCAGGCTCCTTCCTGGAAGCCTCAGAGGAGGACAAATGGCTGCTAAGTCCCTGCCCAAACACCCCACCTGCTTATCGGGTAATTCTTCGGGCTTCTCTATTGGAGTAGGTACTACGAGACTGGCAGCATCCGGCCTGGAGTGATAGGGGGCTCCAAGCCCAAGGTGGCCACTCCCAAGGTGGTGGAGAAGATTGGCGACTACAAGCGACAGAATCCCACCATGTTCGCCTGGGAGATCCGAGACCGGCTCCTGGCAGAGGGAGTTTGTGACAATGACACTGTGCCCAGTGTCAGCTCCATTAACAGGTGAGAGATGGTACCTGGTGCCAGGGTGCCGGAGCTCTGGGGGAACACACAAAGGCCTGGGAAGGGATGGTGCTGAAGCAAGCAGAGGCATCCAAAGCTCAGGCCATGAGTCTCAGCCCCTGCTGCCTTGCACACACCCTGCCCTAGCCCAGTGCCCTTTTTCCTCACATGCTACATTCTCTTTGGGGAATCATAGAATATTCTTGAACCAAGCCTTTCCTAGGCCACAAGACCCCTAACCTGGCCTTCATTCAAGGAATGACTCATTTGTTCGGTCATTCAATTATTCACTGCCTTAATCATTTGCTCCTCCATTCCTTCCTTCCTTCATTCATTCAGACATAATTCACTTATTAGGCATGAGTCACTTATGGCCCAGAGGACTCACAGTCCTTGTCACTTGTCCTTGTCAGGCCTACTGTCTAGAAAGGAGGCAAAGCCGAATTCAATCCTCACATAAACAAGTATAAGATGTTAGTCCTGCTAAGGAGAGAACATGGGGAGGAGCTAGCCTAGGAGGTTGGAAAAGGATGCTCTTGTGTAAGAAACAATAAGCATGAGTGAACTACCTGAAAAATGGGAGCAAATAGAGATCTAAGACCTCCTATGTGAGCACCCACTAGCCATAAGGACTTATATAAGAAGTTAAAACAAATCCACTAGAGAAGGGAGAAGGTGAGTATGAGTCAGGCTGAAGTGGTGATATCAACACAAGCTCTCCAGAGGCCAGTGGCCTGGTGGTGCAGTCTTGTCCCTGACAGGGACCAGTTTTAAGCAGGAGGCAGGCTTGCATTTCAGACGTTCACTTGGGCTACAACATGGAGTCTAGATTAGAAAGGAGGGATGAGAGTGGATTGGTGTGAGCCAGGAGTGCCTCCGGAGGGAGATAGTTGGTGTTGGGTAGATTTGGGTATTGACAATGAACTTAAAAGAGGGATCAAAATACCATAGCACTTTACAAGGACATCCCCACAGAATTGGATGATGACTTGGATGGGTGGAGGCCAAGACAAATGTTGAGGCCCTCCTGTACTTAGATCCTGTGTGACCTATGGTGCCAGTCCCTGAAACAACTGGGGAGGATCAGATGGGAGGTGGTCATGAATTGAGAGTGGGCAGGTTGAATTTGAGGGGCTTTATTGGGTTTGTGCCACACCTAGTGGTGCTCAGGGGACTATATGTGATGCAAGGGATTGAACCTGGGTCAGCAGGGAGCAAGGCAAGAATCCTACCCACTGTAATATCGCTCTGATCTCGAGTTTGAGGGGCTTTTTAAATGCCCAGACAGGATCTCAAAAAGCTGTTTGGATCTGGGCTAGCAGGAGTGCTGTTTTCTTCTCTTCTAATAGTCTCTATCCTGCCCTGTAGAATCATCCGGACCAAAGTGCAGCAACCGTTCAACCTCCCCATGGACAGCTGCGTGGCCACCAAGTCTCTGAGCCCAGGACACACGCTGAGTGAGTGTGGAGGGAGATGCACCTCACCCCCTTGCACACACATGCCCTTCTGTGCAGATGTGCTCCCAGCTGGGACAAGTATTGTCAGGCTCTTAGAGTCACTGAAATATGTCCGGGCTGGAACACTTCAGAAGCTGTTGACTCCAAAAGGCCTACCCCAAGCAGTTGCTCTGCCTCCTCCAAGTTAGCAGCAGGAGCAATAAGCAGGGGGTGGGGAGGGGCAGATGACCCCCATGTCCTCACCCTCTCCCTCCATTGCAGTCCCCAGCTCAGCAGTTACACCCCCGGAGTCACCTCAGTCAGACTCCCTGGGCTCCACCTACTCCATCAATGGGCTCCTGGGAATCGCTCAGCCTGGCAATGACAGCAAGAGGAAAATGGATGACAGTGAGTGTTGGGGAACCAGAAAGATGGCTGGGGGTTGGGTGCCAGAAGGCAGCGGGCTGGGGCTGTGATGGGGTGGCAGGTTGTTGATGCTTTCAAGCTCCTGTCTGCAGCTCACCCTCTATCCCTGAGTCCCTGGCAAGATGCCAAGACCCAAACCAAGTCCTCTCCCTGCTATCTCCATGGCTGAATCTGCTCCTTCTCTTGGGAAATGGGGAGATGAACACTTTCTCCCTCTCTGGGATGCCAGGTGACCAGGACAGCTGTCGGCTGAGCATTGACTCCCAGAACAGCAGTAGCGGCCCCCGCAAGCACCTTCGCACGGATGCCTTCAGCCAGCACCACCTCGAGTCACTCGAGTGCCCGTTCGAGCGGCAGCACTACCCGGAGGCCTATGCCTCCCCCAGTCACACCAAAGGCGAGCAGGTGAGGAGCAGGGTAGGTGCACGGTGGCCGAGAGATTGGGGAACTTCTTGGCAGGGTTCAGCACACACACTCCGTAAAGCCAGGCCAAGCCTTTATTTCACCAGTCGCTGCCATCGGCCCTCCTCCTCCCCACCCTGAAGCCCTCTGACCTCTGCTCCCCCTGTGCTTAGTCTTTTCAGTAGGTTCACACCATCGTCCCCTCACCATCCAGGGCTTCCCCTGAAATGCAGGTGTCTTGTCTCACAATTCCATGCCTTCAACACCTGTACCTCTACCTGCATTCTACCCTGCACTCTCCACAGCCCTACATTACTCATGTCCCATCTGAACCACCCTGCCCTGACACATTGCTCTCCCATTATGCCTTTCATTCCACTTTTCTGCCTGCACAAACACTCCTTGGCTACAAGTGACTCAGATCAAGCATCTTGGCCCTGAATCCCCCCTGCCCTGATGCTCTGCCGGGCACCTGTGGCTTCAATTGCATCCCATGGTATATCCAAGTGTTCTAGCGGGAGTGGATGGAGGTGGGAAGATGGTTGTGGATTCCTTACAGACAGGGCACATCTTGAAACATCTTTTTCATGTCCAGTTCCTAACATCCTTGCCCTCTCCTAACAATAGGTATTCAGTAAAGAAATAATTAAAGAAAATTAAGCAAGTTGAGAAATCCAAGCAAATCCTGAGAGATATTTGATTGTGTGGGGGCCACCCTCAGCAGTGCTCTGGGACTATCCCCAGCTTGTTGCTTGGAACTTGTTCCTGGTAGTGCTTAGAGGACCATTCAGTGTCAGGGATCGAATTCTGGCCTCCCCTATGCAAAGCCTGAGCTCCAGCTCTCTGAGCTCTATCTCTTGACCCTGGGATTCCTTTATTTGCTGTGATCGGGACAGTGACATGGCTTCTGGTGGGTGGGGTTTGGGGAAAAGCTGGCAGTGTCTCTCTCCATGCATGTCCTGTGTCAACAAGCAGAGGAATTTCTTTAGGCGAGTATCAGTGGCCACTCTTTGCCAAGAGACAGGTAAGCCTATTTGCCTTTAAAATCCGAGCAGAACAGTGTCCGTGATGCCAATAACCCGCTCTACCATCGCCAGTGACCGTCTGCGTTTCTGGGTTCCTGCCAGCGCCCACAGCTGGGCAGGCAATCTGCATCAGTGATTTTATCAGTCTGGACCATGGCGACCAGGAGGGCTGCAGAGAAAACGAGGCATCAGCAGATCTGGGGAGAGGGCCAGGGTGCTTGTCACAGTCAGCCAGGAAGTCTGGGAAGAAGGGGGTGTCCTGTGACACGGAGAGAGCCTGTTGTGGCAGAAAGAGGCTGCCTAGCCAGTGTGCACACCCCAGGGATCCTTCTAAGGCACCTGTGCTGGGCAACCACCTCATGGTTCCATTTCTCAGTTCCTCCAGGGGGCCTCTCTGATGACGTCCCACACTGAGCCTAGCACCACACTGGTCATGAGCTCGGAACTCACAGAGCGTGAGCAAGTTCAGTGTTTCCATTGATGCAGAATTGCCTCAGGGCTGGGGGGGTGGAATCCAGGTTTTAGGGCAGCTCTGTTGGGAGCCAAACCCTGGATTTGTCCCAACTGGCCCATAGTCACCTGTTTCAGGTAGGTCGCTTCTACATCACTTCTTCTTGGAAAGCTCAAGCAAAGGAGTTTAGAAATTATGTAACTGCTCCAATTCCTCAGGCTACAGATAAGGAAACAGAGACCCAAAACAGTGACATTCACAAATCACTGCCTCCCTCAGTCACTCATTCACTCACTCTCTCACTCATCAGCTAGTGAGGACCGGGGAAAGCCAGGCAGGGTATGGGTCTGAACCTAGTCCCTATCACCAGTGACTCTGACCTGTGCACACGGCCAAAGGAACACTGTCTCTGGCAGTGACTACATCAAAGTCCACTAACCTGGAAAGCCCAGAGAGAGCATGTGTCCTCAGAGTTGACCTGGGCATGGGGAGACACTGTCATATTTCCTGTAGAACTAACCAGGAGGGAGGACAGGAGCCGAAGTGTCATCGGCCTCATTTCTGGTTGCTCTTTCATGGTCAGAGTTAGGACTCAGCACAGTTATGTATCTTCTATTATTCAAGTGGACTGACAAGCAGGTCAACAGAATGTAACTTAACGTTCTGTTTGTTTCTGTTTTGAGGCCACCCCTGGTTGTGTTCAGGGCTTATACCTGGCTCTACTTGATCACTTGATCATTTGACTTCCCGTTTATCGTTGATTTGCTCGAGCGGGTGCCAGTAACGTCTCCATTTGGCTTATACCTGGCTCTACATTTAGAGATAACTCCTGGCAAGGCTTGGGGATCCACACTTGGTATCAACCTTGCGAAGCAGCTTTTTTCATTCCTGTTATGCATGGAAATCAAGGCTCAAGGAGACCAAGGAGACTGCAATGGCCCCTGCAGAATCAAATCTTCAAATCACCCAAGTTCTAAAGCAGTGAGCCACTCTGCATCCCAATTGATTTTCAATATCAGATAAAAAAAAAGGAAATAAAAAGTATCTAATTATCTTTGGAAAGTGTAAGATTGAAGAGCTATGTCACCAACATGTTTGAGTATGTAGATAAAAGGGGATTTTTGTGAGTTTTCCCCCTAATAGTTTGCCTGAATTTTGGAAATAGTATTTTGAGTAGATAGTTGGATATTGAACCAACACATCTACAAGGCATTTTAAACTTTTCTTACATTCTGTAAAAATGAGGTATTTTGTTCAATTTCATTAAGCTAGCCTCTAAAGCAACTCTACTCTGCCTGGAAGCAGGGTCCCCTGGAAGGCATGGAACCAGAGCGCCATTTAGTCAGTAATTGCTGCTACAGGATAATGGTGCCCTGGTGGCCTCCAAAATTGACTGTCGCTTCCAAAAGTGCCCGGCATGCAACTGGAGAGTATGCAAGCTCTTTGGAGTACCCGGCTCTGTGGAAATCACTGAAGTGATGCCTTTTGTGAAGCAATTACATAACCATGGAGCATTTCGTGGTTTCAGTTTTACACAGTTTCACAACGCATGTTTGAGACAACATTGACCCTCATGTGTGCATGCAAGCAAGTGAAGTGTGTTTGTGTGTGTGTGTGTGTGTGTGTGTGTGTGTGCGTGTGTATGTGCTATCTCTTCCCCTGTCAGATAATGGTTACAGGAAAAGGTGCCAGAGCGTGGCCTTTGTACAAGTTCTACTTGGAAGGAAACTTCTCAGAAAATGGCCCGGGCCATGGCTGGAGACTTGGGTGGTTTTTACAATGAGATCTTAATGAAAAATAAATAAAATAAAAACCACCAGAAACATGGGTAAGAGTCTTGTAACCACCATGAATCCAAGCATCATCTCAGGCTTGAATCTGCCTGTTTCTCTTTCTTCTTGAATGTGGAGAAGAAAACCCCGTTTGGGATGGGGTTCCAGGTCTGCCGCAATTAGTGACAGAGGAAGAACCTGACTCAGGAGCAGCCGCCTTGCGTGCTCCTGTTTCATGATGCAAACTTGTCTTTCCACAGACCTGATATAGTTTGTCACAGGCGTGAGGAGCACTGCATCAGGATCACAGAGGCAAAGTGCTAATGCCACTATGTGAAAGCAGCAAGTGTCAGCCAGCTTAGGACTAAGCATCAGAGCCATACTACTTGGGTTTGAATGCTGGTTCTTGCCCACATGGAAATGTGGTTGTTCTGCTCTATGTCTCTGTGTTTCCTCCATGCATGGAGAAAAAGCACTCTGAACAGCCAGGCCAGCACCCTGTGTCCTGCGGCCCAAAGGCTCTCAGGAAATCCGAAGGGGCATGGTTCTCACACCTGTGCCTGGCTTTCTAATCTCCACCCCCAAATAGCTGGGGAAGCCCTGAGCCCAGGAGCCACATGAGTTAGGGAAGAATGGATGCAGTGAGCTGCGTGGTATCAAGGCTGAGGGGATAGACCCAGACAGGAGCTTTCCCCAAGGAGAGTGGCTTGCTCAGTGCTCATGGATCCAGTGCGCTGAGGAAAGTGCTCTCTGGGCTCCCTGTGTGCTGACTTCTTTTTGTTCCCCAGGGCCTCTATCCACTGCCCTTGCTCAACAGCGCCCTGGACGATGGGAAGGCCACCCTGACCCCTTCCAATACACCATTGGGGCGCAACCTCTCAGCTCACCAGACTTACCCAGTGGTGGCAGGTAAGATGCCCGGATCCAGGGCCTCTCTGGGGCCAGCCGTGAGGACCGGCTAGAGGGCAGGCCTGGCTGAGGCCAGGCAGGCTGTCAGGAGGAAGGTGTCAGGCCGTGGGCCTGCAGAGGACAGGTGGACGCTGCTGGTGGGGCGCCAGAACAGTAGAGAGGGTCTTACCTCCTCCCTCTCCTACCCTTCTGAGGGGACCGGGATAGCCACAGCTCGCCCTGCATGGCAGGGAGCTGCAGCTTCTCCCCTCCCCACTCAACCACAGCCCGACCTGGACTCTGGGGAGCCCCCACTCAGAGAGAAGCCCCAGCCTGCCTGCCCCCGCGGCCCCCCACTTCCCACACCCCACACCCCTCCCCCCTCTCCATGGCTTGATGTGTGCATGTGCCCACCCTCATCTCACACCCCTCTCTCCTTGTTGTCTCCCTCCCTCCGGCAGATTCTCATTCACCCTTCGCCATAAAGCAGGAAACCCCCGAGGTGTCCAGTTCTAGCTCCACCCCTTCCTCTTTATCTAGCTCCGCCTTTTTGGATCTGCAGCAAGTCGGCTCCGGGGTCCCAGCCGGTGCCTCGGTCCCGCCCTTCAATGCCTTTCCCCATGCTGCCTCCGTGTACGGGCAGTTCACGGGCCAGGCCCTCCTCTCAGGTACGACAAGGAGGTCCCGGGCCGTGCAGGTATTGTGGGGGGCGGGAGGGGGGTCGTCAGGGCCAGTCCCCAGCCCATTGCTCCTTTCTCTGGCCCCCAGGCTTGTCCTCCATCCCCCAACCCCTCATTTCCCAACCCCCCTCACCCCCAGCAACTTTTGCTCTTACCATGTTGGCAGGTCAGGCAGTGGGGAAGCTGGCACGAGGGGTGGGTAGAGAGGGTGTTTCTGGAAATGGAGAACCAAGGTGCCATGAGAGTACGGGGACTTGGGCCTGGAGTCAGGTTCTGTGGTTGGGGTGGTGATGGTTGGTGGGGATAGAGGGAATAAAAGAATGAAACTCTGGACAGAGGAAAGGCTCTGACTTTGGGTCCTAGTTCCCGTTGAGTTAAAAGTGTGGCAGCTGCAGTCCCCAGCTCACTAGTGAACCCCTTCCCTAGAGAACTCACCACATTGAGATGTGTGAGGTCAAGAGGAACACACACACACACACACACACACACACACACACACACACACACACACCAGGAAGTTCATTGGCCTCTGGGGGGAAAACCTAGGACTAAATATGTGCCATTTCTGGTGGGAAACATGCCCACAACAGAAGGGTCTGGCAAGGCAGAGCAGGAGTTGTGTGTGTGATGGGGGAGCATTCGGCCTGCCTGTGGCCAGACCTCTGCGGAGTTATATTTCCCTGCAGTGGCAACTCCCCACTAGGACCTGAGCAGTGGCAGGAGGAACCAGCATGGTAGCAGATGGCCTGTCTCCAGACCTCTGAATGGCTTCTACGGACAGAAGACTGTTTTTGATCCTGATTAAACCCACACCCAGGGAGCAGGTCAGAAGCAAGGCAGCCCTTCTGGACCAGTCATCTTGAAACCTGTCCTGAGAGTTCACAGCCCTGTAGTGAAAGAAAAGAGTCTACAGATGCCAGACGTCCAAACCAGGTCCAGAAATGTAGGTCCAAACCAGATCCAGAAATGTTTGACGTCGGGGCTCAGCCTTTGAAAGCCTGATCCCAGAAGAACCAGGTGTTCAATTGCCTGGAACTCAGAGGAACACAAAGCACTCAGACACTACCATCCACCCTTTCTTCAGTGACCCCACATTGTGTGTCTGTAGAGCACTGGGTTTTTTTTTCCCCTCTTCACATCTACTGGAAGGTCCTCTTGGAAGAAATGGGCACAGAAGCAAAGGGTTAATGAAGGAAGCCCAGTGTCTGGCAGAGAGGCAGGGATGAGCAGAGATGAAAGTGTTGACTCAGAGATCAGAATTTCAATAGAGGGTGAAATCAGTAGAGATGGGCCATTTGTTTTGACCAAAAGTGATTAAAGGAGGAAAATCTCTGAGCTGAGTAGAATGATATCATCCAGGGGAGAAAAAAAAAAGAAAGAAAAAGATGGGAGGACAGTGAGGGAAAAGTCCTATCGTATCTTATACTTTTGCTGGGCTGGCCTGATGGTGAGGCAAACCTTGGAGAAGGCAGGCTGGGGTCAGGGCCTGCTTTGATGCAGGTCTGGCAAGGGGGCATGGATGAAGCTGAGTAGGAGGAGGACTAGTTTCTCAGTTAGTGTTCCAGATGTGAATAGGCTTTGAGGAGCAGCTGAAGGGAGAGGATAAGAACAGATGGCACGGGAAGCCGGTACATCAGGCAGGGCCTTGAGGCAATAGTATAAAGTCAGAACAGTTCAGGACAAACTCCCAACTCCATTTACTCCTCTGTTTGCTTTTCTTTTAGGGATTCAGGTGCTCCCACCAACACAGACACAGACACACACACGTACACACACACACACACACACACACATGCCACAGACACACATACACATACCTACACACATACATGGTATAAACAAATCAGGGTGGTACCACCAATCCTTAACAACATTCAGGATATATGCCCTCTCAGTAGACCAGCTTTTGGACATAGACCCCCTCTGGGCCAAAGCTGATAGTAGATACCCAGAGGTCATTGAAGCAGGTATCCCCTATGCCAAGTACTGCTGATAATGCTCAGGATACACCCCCCAGGAGGCCAGTGTTCAGCCATAGGGTCCAGCCTGAGGCTTAAGATCCAGCATGAGTTGAGAGCCCAAAGAAGAGCGGGAAGCAGCAGGCCTGGAGGGACTAGGTCCTGCTAGGAATAAGACACAAGATAGTGGGTGACCCTCTCAAACTCAGGGGATTAGCCTGGAGCTTCTCAAAGAAGGTCCACTTGCAGTCTCTGATCTAGACACTAGCTCAAAGTCCTCACATATCGAGTTTTCAGCTTATGTATCTAGAGAGAAACTGTAGGACTCCCCAAGGAAGAGGACCATGAAGAGGCAATGAGTGCAAGAATCTGTTTGGGGCTGGAAAGGAGCAGCACTCTCCTATGTCCATTCAGGGTGTCCGCGGGAATTTGAAAGAAAGGAAAGGAAGCCAAAAGCTCATTTATCTCCAGGGAATTCTGCCTATGATGGCAGAGATAGGCGGGTCAAATGACAAGGTAAGGTCAGGCAGGTCTCCTTCCTGACTCAGCTTGACCCTGACCCACCCAAGCCCTCCATGCCTTCTCATCGGAAAGGCTTTCATCGCCCGTATCAACATCCCATCCCACAGCACCTTTGTAGAGTCTCCTCCTGGGGCTCTTTCTTAGCCTTTGGCTGTGAGACTGTGATGCCCAAGAAAACTCTCCCTTCTGGTCTGAGCTCCTCTCTTCTCAGCCAAGAAAGAACTTTAGGGTGTAGAGAAAATTATGAACTTGCACTCAAAATTTTAATGGTTCCCTTCAACTATCAAGTCTGGAGTCCGAACACACTGGTCAAGGGCAATCCAGAGGACAGTCTTGTCCTGACTATTCCAGGGCCAACGTCACCTCTGCTGTTCAGAAAGCTCTGGGTTTGGTTTATCATCAATGAGTCCATTATCCACCTTTGTCCTTTTGTGCAAAATTATATTTAATTCTCGATTGTCATAAATTTTCCTTGCAATCAGAACAAGATAAGGAATTGAAAAGGGGTCACACTGGGGGCAGACATCAAAGGGGGAACAAAGCAAATGGTCTGAAATCACCTCTGCCTTCTGAATTCCTCCAAGAAATAGTTTTCTGATCCTTGTCTCAGGCATTATTTAAAATATTTACCAATATTTGGGGTTGGGGGTTCAGGTGTTTTTCTTGTAGAATCCTTACTTCATGGCCAACTCAGACCTGTGCCTTTATCTCCTTTTTGAATTTAAGGCCAAAGGAAGTCTGTTTTCTTGAAAAGGAGGTGGAATAACAAGCCAAAAATAAAGTTATGGTGAAGAACCTTCAAAGTCGGTCAAAGGGAGTAGGCATGACCTGGTTTTGACTTCATCATATAATTTCTGTGGTCTAACATCTAAGATTGCAGGAAGTTTTCCTTTGGGGAAAGAACCCAAAGGTCTAAGGAAATAAAGCCAAGAGTTTTGTGAGACTGATCAGCATTTACGCTACTGTAGTCAGTGAGTTCCATCCTGAAGACAGTCTTACCAGACTTCCTTGGAGGGAGTCTTCAGGGTCTGGGTTGTGGAGTTGATTCTGAGGGCTCTCCTCTGCTAGGAGAAAAGTACGTGACTGAGGAGACAAAGATTAAAATCTCAGCATACTGTGGAGTGACTGACAAATTTCCAAGAGCAATCTGCAAGCTCATCCTCACAGGATGGAGCACCCAGAGGAAACTAGGATGGAATTGACTTGTATCTAAAGGGGTATTATGTGAATGATCCTCTGCTCACTGAGCTGCAGTGCTCAAGAAGCCATCGGGAAAGAGCAGAATGAAGGCAGCAGGGTGTGGAACCTCAGGGATCCCTGAATCTCCAAGTTCCTAGGCCAGCTCTAGCAAGCCATTGGCCTGAGAGCTAGGATTGACCTCCCTCTGTCTAGTGCCAACCACGATGGACTCAGATGCAGCCTTAGAACATTTTCTAGCCATACGCATCTACCATTTTCCAAGTAGATGATATTTGGTGGTGGGAGGTGTGAGTTATTTACTCATTAGTCACAATCTGATCTGGATTTAAAATTCTAGAAAACTCTCTTTCTCTCTGTCTCTCACTCTATCTTCTCTCTTATGTTCTCTCTTCCACTCCCCACCCTGCATCCCCCAAGCATACAAGCATTACTCTCCTATGAAATCACCTGTCATCCTCCATACCCATGCCTGCACAGTCTTTTTCTGTGTTGCTCATGTGATTCAGTAGCTAACTAGTCAAGTGCTTCATCCAAGGACCAAGGGATAGCATCTGAGAGCTGGCAGTATCACAGTCTTCTTCAAAGAAAGATCAGATTTCACTGTTGTCCAAAATTCCTTTCCTCTTCTATGTCTTCAATCCTCAACCCCTTGTTTGCTTCATTCCTGTGCCAGGCATCACTAACTACTACTGGTTAGTGTCTGGTTATACTCTACAGCACAGCACCAGCCATGGGCAGATGTGGCAGTGAAAGTCCAACAAAGAGAGGGGTCCTTCTTTCTCAAATGCTCATGTGACTCTAAACAATGAATGCTAATGGTTTATTTCAAATCGGAAATATTCTGTGGGGATTTCCTTGACATGTAACAATTTATAGAATATACCCATGGTGCTGCTCAGTGCCCATCTATAGCATGAAGCCCTGGCTCAGAATCATTCTTATAACACCATGTAATAGCGATAAGATGCATGATATGGTGCATCTTAACTGTGAAGAAACAGGCTTGTCGCACAGATCAGGCTAAGGATGAAGGTACTTGAAAAATAAATTACCGAAGCTAGATAACTTAAGCCCTGTGATTCTGGGACCCTTTCCTCCAGGAACAGGGCAGAAGCTCAGTGGGCCTGTTTTGGTTTGGGGACCCCCGACTTAGCTTCAAATGCCCATCCTAACCTATATCCCATTTATCTTAACGCCTGAGTCTTTATGAAATCTCCAGAGAGGCAGGTAAGAAGTTAGTCACTGTGGCACTGCCAGTACAGACGTTTCAATGGAGTTTCTCTCATTATATTTCCAGTTAAGGAAAAGGGATGAAGGGGTCAAGAAATGAAGGACTATAAGGAGGAAAGTTAGATAAGGAAAGCCAAGAGGTTATGGACTCAATAAGGTTATTGATAAGGGCTCATAGGAACCCTACAGAGTCCTGGAAAGAAAACCAATGTGGAAGAGGCAGAGAAATTTCATGAAATGGGCATTTACTAACTTAGTAGTTAGCAAAGGTGATTTTGCTCCTTTGGGGTATATAAACATCTGGAGACTTGGTTGTCACCTTGGGTGAAAATTTCTATAGGCAGTAGTGGTCAGAGGGGGGATTCTGATGAGCATCCTACATTGCATAGAATAGTCCTCACTACAAAGAATGGTCCAGTCCCCAAATGTCAAAAGTGTGGAGGATTAGGAACTATGTAAATATCATATACATCCAAGAACTAGGATGAACAAAAGCTTATCTCTCAGATGTAAGGATTTTGAGAGCAAAATGGGCATTATTAGTAAATACACAGGGAGAATCGCCACAGCCTGGGCAGACCAGGATGTATGGTCACTCTGCCAAGAACCCTTCGTTGGGGAAGGTTCTGGTGTGGACTTGCAAGATGGGACATTAGGAGAAGGGGTATGGGTGAAGGGATGTGGTCACGGGCTTGAAGGATAAATGAAGAGAAACTCATCTATATATATATATATATATAGATGAGTTTCTCTTCATTTACATATATATATATATATATATATATATATATATATATATATATCCAAAATGGGAAGTTTCAGTCTCTGGTATGGAAGAGAGCAAGAAGAATGCAGGTTTGACAACAGCTGTCCCCACATTACCAATACTAGGGTATTGCCTATAAATTATCAGTAGACAAGACAGCTGGACGTAAGTTTTGCTGAAAATGATTCTTTTGTGTAATGGGGGTGGGGGCAGTGGGGGTACATAGCCAGTGGTTTTGGGGATTACTCTCAGCAGTACTTGGGAAGGACCGTGTGTTGTCAGAGATCAAACCTGGGGCTCACACATGCAAAATTGCACTCCAGCCCTATGAACCATTCTCACTGGCTCTGAAAAATGATTCTTTCCAGGAGTATAAATTACAGATAATATAGTTTGGGGTCATATGTAAACAACAAATATTTCTTAGTCTAGATCCTCTTTGTAGGACAGAAATGGTAATGGATTAAATATCCGTATCTACCTGGAAACTCAGTTGTAGAGCAGAAATGCCTTCTCCAACCTAGTGGGAAAGGTGCAGTGATTTATCAACAGTGTTTTTTTCAAAGCTCCAAGCAAGGTCCTGTAGGCTATGCCTATGCCATCTCTTTCTAAGGGCTGATTCTTGATTTCCTCAGCATGAGAGCTGACAAGGATGTATGCTCTGAGATTAGTGGTCTCAATATATTTATTTGTCTAATACATTTAATTTTAATTTTGAGGGATCATATCTGATGATGCTCTACACCCAGAGGATTGAACCTTGGTCAGCTACAGCAAGATCCCTACTTACTCTACTATTATTTAATTTTTAAATTTGATTTAGGTCACACACCAGTGGTGTTCAAGGCTTATCTACTCTCTCTGTGTTCAGGGATCATTTTATGGGGCTCAGAAGATCCAAGTGGGATATCAAGGATCAAACCCAGATCTGCTACGTACAAGGAAAATGATTTACCTGCTGTACTAGCTCTCCAATCTCTAAAATATTTAGTCCTGCTATCCTGCTATGCCCACTGATGTGTTGAATGCTGTGGATGCAAAAAAAAAAAACAAAAACCCCAAGATGTAGCTCTCTACCTCCCTCTAATACCATAACTATTTTATAGATAAAAAAGATTTGTATAAATATTGGCATACAAGGGACTGTGTAGGACTGCAGACTGCCTGGTGGATCTTCTGTTCTGTAAAAGACAGGATGAGGGTAAAAAGACAGGAAGAAGGAAGGAGGAGGATGGGTGTAGAGAGTGGCTTTGGAGAGATCAGGGATGCCACAAGGGAAGATTTAATGAGTCTCAGGGCAGCAAAACATCACGCGTGTGAAGCCACTGTGGGTCAACTGATGACTCCTTGCTGTATTTTTCCAGGGCGAGAAATGGTGGGGCCCACGCTGCCTGGATACCCACCCCACATCCCCACCAATGGACAGGGCAGCTATGCCTCTTCGGCCATCGCAGGCATGGTGGCAGGTAAGGAGGAGAGGCATTGGAGAAGTGTGGGAGAAAAGAGGGTCAAGAGAGGACAAAAGATAGTTGGGTATGTCCCATGCATAAATTTCATGGAGAGCGTCAAAGAATGAAGCAAAGGGTGAGTTTTCTTAGAAATGCCTGAAGATAGTTTAGTGCATTCTTGGCTCCTTAACTCTCCCTACCTTGACCTGCTTCTTTCCAGATGCTCCCACATCCCCCACCACCATGAAAGAGAAGGGCATGACAGACCATGTTTAAATGGAAGCTCTACCACTTTCACCAGTGATTCAGTTGACCTCTAGCACTCTCTAGCAGTCAGCAGATACATTCATCCAGTTCTTGAGCTGCCCATTGTCTCTAGTAATTTAACTCAGATGAATTTCAGTTGACCTTTCTAAAAAAAAAAAAAAAGAATAGGAATGATGTTGACAATGATAATGATGATGAAGAGAGTTGAGATATATAGCCTCCTTGACCTTCAAACTCATGTAACTCTGTATGGTCAGGACTCACTGTCTAGATGTCCCAAAATATTACTGAAGGTAAGGCAAGTGAGGACAATTGCATCATTGTAAGGATTGTCCTGGAATACTGTCTGTCAGTCATTTGGGTCCCTTTGTCTCCAATAATGATTGTCACCCAGTAATCTGAGATGTCAAGGTCTAGATAAGTGAAGAAGACCGGAGAATTTCTTTGGGTAAGTTTCATCCATTTAGAAATTATATAGTAAGGACCCTAGGTTGGAAAGAGAGGAATCAAGTAATTTCCACTGTCCAGAGAGGCCTAAAGGGTCCTGGAATGGAGGTGAGGTGGGATGGGTTCGGCGCTATCTAAATTCTCAGTGTCTCACCTTCACAGCCCTGGCCAGTCTTCCTGACTCTGACCCAGAGACTTGGAGTGTTCACCCAGCAGGGCTCACTCTTTGCCAGCCACCTACTCTGGGTGCCTTGTGCTGAGGCAGGTGGGCTGGCTCTCCTGGGCAGAGGCAGGGGAGGGAGAAGTGAGGGATGGAAGGAGGCTCTGCTCCTTGGGAACCTGCTGAGCTGGCACTTGTTGCTGCCTGGTTACCGTGGCGATGTGCTTAATGCACCGTTGAAAATACAGAATACTGACTCCTCTCTCCCTCCTGGCCCCGACTCCCTCCCTCCCTCCCTTCCTCTTCTGGAGCGTGAAATGAGATTGGTCAAGATAAAAAAGGAAAAGATTCGGTTATTTTTTTAAGAGTGTGGATAATGGGGCCTCTCAATCAAAATCCCAGGCTCCAGTCCGCTCCCACCCATCTCCCTTCCAACCTCTCCACCTTCCCCTGCTGCCTGCATCAAGGAGGAGGAGGAAGAAACATAAAGCACAGAGTTTTTCTCTTAATTATGAATCATTCCCCAGAGGCAGGCCCAGGGCAAAGGGTTCCTGGGGACTAGAGTCTAACCCATGAGGTAGTTTGGGCCTCTCTTCAAAGGCCCCCAGTTTGTTCCAGAAAGATCTCATCTAGATTGGGTGTTGTGGGAAGAAAACATAATAGCCGACTACAGGATCCATTGCAACAAATTGTAAAAGGGATAAGGTCTTGCCATGCAAGGTTAATGAGCTTCCTTCCAATAGTTATGTACAAATCCGTTTTCAGAAAAGGCAGTACTCTTTAAATATATCATCTAGTACTCAAGAAATCCATGGTGCAAATGAATCATTTAGGAATGATTTTGTAGAATTTTTCTTGTGTGTGTGCATTTCTTACCAGACTTCAATCTCCTAGTTGACTAGGTGGTGTCATCCATAAACATCAGCAAACCTTCACTGAGTAACTACTATGTTTAGGTATATCATAAATACTCAAAGCAAGGCATGTCCATGACATTCTTCACAAGTGGAAAAAAGAAAGATCATTCATTACACTCCTTTGTGCCTGATTATTCAGAAATAGAACTTTATTTCTTGTTTTATTCTCACCATCAGACTGAGTAGCTGATATTATCCTAACTTTATAGAGATAAGGAAACAAACTGAAAAAAAAAGCAAGCTCTGGGTTCTAACATACAAAGCAGAATGAGTCGTTCAATTGTATTCTTTTAATTTTAAATCTGTGGTTCCATCTGTTACTCCATATCGGAGGTAAATATGCAAGTAATAGAACAGTGATACAGGAAGGGGACCATGACAGGGATTTCTCTTGTCCATTCATCTTCTGTTTTGCCTTCAAACTGCTGTTGTTCCTACACCATTAAGACAGTTAATCACCCTCACTCCAGTTCTGAAGCTGAACTGAGAGCTCTGGAGAGATATATCCATCCATCCATTTACCTTTATGTATATGTTTCCACATACATCATCTTATCCATCCTTCATCCTTGTCCTTCCATCCATCTCTTCATCCATTCACCCATTCATCCTTTCATCTATCCATTATTCCATCACCCACCATCTTGGCATTCTTCTATCCATTCACCACTTTTTATTTATCAGAATATGGTTTGAATATCCCCTATCTAGATGCTGAGGATACATCAGTAAACAAGACAGGTACCTCTATTTATGGAGTGTACAACCTAATTGTGTGAGTGAAGCACAGTAAAAGAATGAATAATAAAGGAGATAATTTCAGAGAGTGGTGTGCTGTGAAGACTATAAAGTAGGATGATGTAATAAAGAGCCATGGGGAGAAGAGATAAAGAGTTTAGATTGGGTGACTAAGGGAGGTCAATCTAAGAAAATACTCAAGTTGGTCAGCCAAGTGGTAAATTGGGGCAGACAATCCCTAGCTCAAAAGAACAGCAAGTGCAAAGGCCCCAAGGCAGGAACTAGTTTAGCATGATTGCACACAGAAAGAGGCTGAGTGTATCGAAGAACAGAGATTAAGGAGAGAATACGCTATGAAATGAGGAGATGTTGGTTGTGACTGGTCATTTTTTTCCCCTTTATTTTTGGGCCACACCTAGTGGTGCTCAGGCATTGCTCCTGGTTTTGCACTCAGGAATTACTCCTGGCAATGCACAGGGGACCATATGGGATGCCGGCATTCTAATCCAAGTCAGCTGCATGCAAGGCAAGAGTCCTACCCACTTGTACTATTATTTGGGCCCCATGACCGGTCAATTCTTAAGACTACTCAGACTGGTGGAAAAATGGATTTTAGACAGTAAAAAAGATCAGAGCTTGGTTAGGGGAATGACAATTGTTGTACTTCAGGCTAGAGATGAAAGTGACTTGGGCTAAGGATGGAGACATGAAGGAGGAGAAAAGAAACACTGATAATATACTTTGGCAGTAGATTTGACAAAATTTTCTGTTGAATTTTCTGAAAATATTCAAAAACAGAGAAAGTAAGAATGATGCCTTTGACTTGGGTTTGGGGAAGTGCATAGGTGGTGGTAACAAGTTTCTTTGTGGGACAGTCAGAAAAGTAAAGGTGGAAAGTATTGGAGATGGAAATAGGAGTTCTGTTGAATCATGTTAAGACTGAGGTGTCTCCTAGGAATCTAATTTAATAAGTCAATAGTCACAGGATAGATATTTGAAGGAAGAATGCTGACTTAGAGTATACATTTCAACCATTGTACAAATCAGTCACTTAAAACCAAGGGATTAAGCAAGATCACTAGAATGAGAACATGGGTGGAAAGTCACAGAATGTGTATAACCTATCAACTCTGAGGTTCTTTAGCATTTAGAGTTCTCGCAGAGAAGGAACCACCAGCAAAGTGAATGAGTAGGCAAGTTCAGCGGGAAGCAAACCACGTGGTTGGGTGTCCTGAAATACAAAGGCAGAGAGGGAGTGATGGCTTGACTCAGTTGGCAAAGAGTTTGAGAGTTCTTAAAGAGATCTACATTGGCTTGACTAGGAGGATAGAAGGTAAAGGCTTCTCTGTATGCATCCGAGGATGGGGCTGGTAACCAAAGAAGAGAAGATATCAGAAAACATGTTTGTAGGCTGAAAGGAGTGATGAATTAGAAAGGGTGAGATTAATGAAGCAGATAAAAGAGAGGGGGTAACTTGTAGGGCAAAGTCCTTGGAAAGGTGAGTAGAGAGGAATGAAGAACAAAGGATGGGTTGACCTTTCCTGAGTGCAGACACGTTTTATCTGCACTTGTAAGCTGACAGAATTGAGGATGGGAAGATGGCTGCACCCCTCCTGAGCTCTGGGACTTGTGACTGAAGCAAAAAGGTGCTTGGTAAACTTCCTTGTGACTGAAGCAAAAAGGTCATTGGTAAACACATTGAGCACAAATGTTCAGTGAATGAGTAAGGCATGAGTGAGAGTCAATGCTTGAGTAAGTGACAAAATGAGAGGCCCAAACACATTCTAGTTTTCTCCTAATTTTCGTGTTCGGTCTGGGACAATAGCTCAGTGGGTAGGGAGTTTTCCTTGCATGCGGCCCACTGGGTTCGAATCTTCCGTCCCTCTAGGAGAGCCCAGCAAGCTACTGAGAATATCCTGCCCACACAGCAAAGCCTGGCAAGCTACCCCTGACGTATTCAATTTGCCAAAAACAGTAACAAGTCTCACAATGGAGACGTTACTGGTGCCCTCTTGAGCAAATCAATGAACAACGGGAGAACAGTGCTACAGTGCATGAAAGCTGCAGTGTGGCACTGGTGGGGTTGAGTGAGGTCCCTGCTATCTATCCTATAGACTCAACTGCGTCTGAAGGTGCTCTGAAGCTGGGGAGATCTAGGAAACACCAACAGGGTACAGGATCCTTGATGTGTGGGTTACAAGACAACACTGGACTGCTAGGAGACCTAGAGGCCATGGGCTTTAGTTTTGTCTCCAGCGGATCCTGTGGTCTGGGCAGCTGTCTCACCCTTTCTGAATAACAACTTCTTCATTTGTGAAGTTAGTGGTTGGATTATGTATATATATATATATATATATATATATATATAGAGAGAGAGAGAGAGAGAGAGAGAGAGAGAGAGAGAGAGCCATAGCACAGCGGGTAGGGCGTCTGCCTTGCACGCAGCCAACATGGCCGACCCGAGTTCGATTCCTCCGCCCCTCTCGGAGAGCCCGGCAAGCTATCGAGAGTATCTCGCCCGCACGGCAGAGCCTGGCAAGCTCCCCGTGACGTATTCGATATGCCAGACACAGTAACAACAAAGTCTCCAATGGAGACGTTACTGGGCCCGCTCGAGCAAATCGATGATCAACGGGAGGGCCTTTACTTTTATATCTATATTTTAATTCCCCCCCACCCTTCTCCTTCCATCTTTTTTCTCCTCCTTTTTTCGCATATATTTTATTATGCTTGATCTGTGTTCAGTGAAGTTACTACCCCTACGGAATGTCCAATGTCACTATTAATTTTTCAACAAGGAAGGGGTCTAGGGACCTTTTTCCTGCTTCAAATTCCTTCACCTATTTTTCTGTCATGTAAGCTGTCCCTACTGACACTAGCCCAGGCTGAAAAGCTGGTCAGACTATTTTGAGCTTCCGTGGAGCTTTATTTGGGTACCTGATTCCTAGGAAATTTAGAAGACCTGGCATTTCTTGGGTGATCCCCGTAAGCCAAACATAGCTATAAGCATTTAATGAATCTTAGCGAATCCCTCCTACTCAGAAAATCCCTGGAGATAGAGACAAGAACTTGCCCCTGTTTACAGAAAGGCTCAGAGAGGTTAAGTGACTTGTCCAAAGTTCCACTCCCAGAAAACAGGAGCTCCAGGCAGGTCAGCCCCTGAGCCAGGCAGTGTCCAGCATACCCCGCTCAGAGCAGGAGGGCAGGAGTTGCTGAAAGCACTGGCTGAGGCTCTGAAGAGCTGTGCAAACAAGCATCTGTTTCCAGTCTGGCACACATCTGACTTTGTGGAGGGAATTGTCTCAAAAGTGCATGAAGGGATTATCTGGAATTAAGAGTTAAGAGTCCTAAGGTCAAGTTCTGTGGTTTACAGGCAATGGGAGCTGAAGCCACCTTCTTAGTCATGCTGCCTCCACATTCCCACCCCCACCCCCACCCCCACCTCCCAGTTCCTCCTCTATCAACTGGCAGAGTTGATAGAGGCCTCACAGGATCATTGGGTGAATAAAGGGCAGCATGCTTGGTCAACTCTGAGTGCTAGGCCAGCTACGGAAGGGGGTGGGGTGGGGGGTCACTGTGGTGAGCTGCTGCTGCTTCAGGGAATGCTGGAGTTCCTCAGATGAAAGAATCCTCCAGTAAGCCAAGAGTCAGCTCTTAGAAAGAGGTGATCAGATTCACTGTGTGTAAATTCATGAGCTGGGTTTGCTTAAAGGGACAGACTTAGTGTAAGACAAAAAAACTCCTGAGGATGAATGCCAGGACATGGGTGCCCAAGCCAGAGGACAGTATGTTTGAGTTCCTCCGTCTTCTTCTTTCACCCTTGATCTTCAGCTACACACACACACACACACACACACACACACACACACACACACACACACGACTGTGTGCAGCTCTGCAGATACTGAAGCTTCAATTCCTACATCTGAAAAATTATATCACACTAACTTATGCCTCCTGAGGTTCCCTTGAGAACTGAGCTTGATGGGCGGGCAAGGGGGGGGGGGGGTGCCTCCAGCACCTGTTAAGATCCCATTTTCCAAAATCGTGTGGACTGAGAGGCCTCAAAAGACTTGATGGAAGCCTTCTGGGTGTCCACTGTCCCTGTCCTGCCTCTTTCTGTACCCCAGGATTCCCCTATAGATCCCATTCCCCATCCTTAGCCCCCTTGGATGCTGCCCACCTCACCAGCCTCTCACCTGTATGCCTCCAACAGGAAGTGAATATTCTGGCAACGCCTATGGCCATACCCCCTACTCCTCCTATGGTGAGGCCTGGCGCTTCCCCAACTCCAGCTTGCTGAGTAAGTCATCTCGGGGATCATACAGGCCCTCTGCTGTGTGGGGTGGTGTGGGGGTGAAAGTCTGGGTCAAAAGTTGTCTGAAAACTGGGAGGCCTCTGGGGGAAGGAGTACTGGGGAAGGTGGTGGGGGGAGGAGTTGTCGGAAATCCAAGAAGGCATAGGGAAGGTGGCTTCCTTGTCTTGTTGTCTGAGGGAAGAAGGTAAAAGTGAGAGACACCTGCATGGTTCTTTGCCCGCTACCCAAGTCTTCTCCTTGTGGCATGATTTGGGGCTCAACCCTGAGGAGGGAGTACAGGGATGCTCAAGAGAAGAGTAGGGGTCAAATTCCTGCCTTTAGGACTCCAGGTCAGATGGCTGCAGAGAGCAGGAGAACTCTCCCAACTCCACCCCAAACCCACCTTCTTCCCGGAAGCAGGAATTCTAGCCCATTTCTTATATTAACTGTCCAAATGACCCACGAGTACCCATGACTCATCCCTGACAGGAAAATCCTTGGCTCTATCCAGCTCTCGAGAATTGACTTCAGAAGTAGGCATCACCCAGGGCTGAGAGGCAGAGACCTCTCATCGCCAAGGACCCCCAGTAGGGAAGAGGAACTTTTTAGGAGTCCATTTATGTGAATCTTGCCAGTAGCATGGGTGTTGCCCAGAGGAAGAACCAGATCAGAAAGAAGTAAGGGTTTCGGGGTACCTGGCCTATGCCCCATCCACCCCTTTACCCCCAGCCTTCTAGACTTGCCCAGGAGGGTAGTTGACCCGGGCTGATTCAGCAGATGAGTCCAGGCGGAAGCTACATTTTAGCTGCCAGGAAGGACAAGAGCATCCAGACAGGCCAGAGTGAGGACTCATCTGCCAGCCACCCCAGATGTCCAGCCTGCCAGCACTCAACACCTCACTGTGGCTCCCTCCAGACACACACCCTACCAGACCAGTTGAGGTTGGCATCGCCGGGGCCCTATGTGGAAGCTCCTTAGGCACCGCACAATTGGGGCACAGCTGGATGAGACACTCCTCGGGATACTTAGCTCTTGGGCTTCCCACTGTAATAACTGTGTCACCCCTTCCCTCAAAGTAGGATTTTTGAAGGTCGAATCAGTCATGAAGCGGGGCTGGGAGAGTGGGGTGGAGGGCACGAAGCAACCATTCTCATTCTGGCCAGGAACTCCAAGGTGAGGCCGGAGAAGGCGGAAATAAGACTGGAGAGGAGTTAATCTTTGATGATCAGATAGGCTAGAGGGATAAATGATTAACTCATGCTGTCTTAAAGGTTAGCAGATGCCAGAGAAGGCTCTGGTGCAATTTCCCCTTCTGACCAGTGGTGTTGTTGTTTTTTCCCAATGTGTCCAGGTTCCCCATATTATTACAGTTCCACATCGAGGCCGAGCGCACCGCCTACCACCGCCACGGCCTTTGACCATCTGTAGTTGCCATGGGGACAGTGAGAGCCTCCAAGCCACGGGAGGACTTGGCCTGGGACAGGCCCCAGAGAGTCACACAAAGGAATCTTTATTTATTACATGAAAAATAACCACAAGTCTAACATTGCGGCACACTCCCTGTGTGGTTGGTGTAACGAACCATGAAAGACAGGATGACTTTGGAGAAGGCCACTCTGTCCTCCAAGACTCCTGAACGAGGTGGAGGGGGTGGGGGGGGAGTCCCTGGGAAGGAGCAGCGGCCCCATTCTGGGCAAGACGACACTGAAGGAGAAGTGTGGAGACCAGAGGGAACAGCTGAGGAGCTGCTGGTGGTAGGTTGGCAAATGGGGCCCCGGAAGAGCAGAGGGATATCCCAGGGTACCTCCCTGGCTCTGTGGCCTGTACTCACTAGCTCCTGTGGGCTGAGGACTTCCAGCCCTCCCAGGGGAAGGCTCCCATCCCCTGCCCTGAGAGGTTCACCCATGCCCTGGAGCTGAGACTCGACTGTCCACCTCAACTCAGCCTGCTTGGTCTTCCTGCATCTTCTTCCCGGCCACTAGCCAACCAAAAGCTCCGCTCAGCAGATCTTCCTGTGACCACTGCTGTGGCCACAGCTCACCCCCAGATCCTTCTTCTGCCTAAAGCAGATGGAAATGAAAATTCCCAAAGATCCCCAGCTCTAGGGGGTGGGGGGTTACCGAGCAAGACAGATCGCTGGGACCCACTTCCCTCTCCCAACAAGCACCCCTTCCCCACCAAGCTAACTGTACTGCCTGCAACCCCAGCCCACTGCGAACGAAGCAACCCCCGAGGCAGCCTGGAAGCCAGCAATGGAGGTTCCCTCTCTGGCCCTGTGGCTCCTGCCCCCTTCCAAGGCCTGACTGTAAATACTGTAAATGAAGCTTGTGTGGGTCCAGCATTCCTCTTTCCACCTCCCAAACTTTGGCCTTTCAGTGAGTTGTCTCCCTCCTAGGTCGGGCTTCGCTCCTTGATGATGCTTTCTTTTTTAAGAACAACCACCCCTCCATTGCCATGTGACTCAATAAACCATTACTCTTCGTCTCAGGCTCTGAGGTTGACTGTGGAAGGAAGTTCCTGCAATTGGAAGGAGGACTGCCTCCTCCCCCATAATCCAGTGGCCTAAGAGCTCACAATGGGGCAGGCTTATGGGTGGTGGTGGGGGGCAGGGGGTGTCAACCATTGGATGGGCTCTAAAGCTCTGATTTAGCTTTTCCCCTTTACCCTCCATAGGCAAGCCATGTACATCCTTTGATTCCTCCAGCTCGGCGTAAGTGGGAGGGTAAAGTGAGCAGAGAGAGTGCTGAACTCATCCTCGGCTCCCAGATTGTTCTGTGGCTAGTGACAGGATGCCAGAAAATGAGCTGAGGAAAGATCCAGCATAACTACCAACAGGGCCCATAAGCCTGGGATGCTTGGTGTGAGGGGAGGGAAGAAAGAAGACGTTTTCCTAGGCTCTGTGAGCCAGAAAAAAATGGAAATAACTGGCTCTTGGAAGCACTTGGGGGAAAATGGTGTAAGTTCCATCCAGTCTTCTGGTCTCACACCAATTGCGCAAACTCACCTCCCCCCCACCCCCAACCACCACCAGTAATGCCTGTGTGGTCAGCACCCCGGAGAGTTGGTGGCCTGTGAGGAGGGTCTGTTTGCTTTCATTTCATCATGAAGATTTGACTAGACTGAACCGTGAAGAGGTAACGGGAGTGGTGAGGGAGCCTGGACGGCCCCTTTCTAAGGAGTTTTCGAGAACATGAGGGGAAACACACTCAAATAGAACCTTGTGGGGCTCTGTGCTCCAGCAGCTGTCAGGAGTCTACACAGGCCCTTTCCACTTATTACCAGCTGGAGTGAGGAGCTGGCCCTGGCCCCATGCCCAGGTTAGTTAATAGCTAGGTGGGGCCCCTCTGAGCCCGAGGCAGGTGGAGGCAGGAGCCGCTCATCCCAAACCCCTCAGCGACTCAAGGCTTCCGAGGCAGAGGCAGAGGCAGAGGCAGAGACAGGCATCCTCAAAGGAGGGCTCAGAGAAGGGTTGTCATGCTTCCATGAGGGGCGCAGGGTGGAGGCCCACAGAGAAAGCCCAACCCTCATATCTCCCTCCTGAGAAGGACTGAGACTGGGGTCACTTTCCAGGAACAAAATTTCTCTTAGGGGGCACATGGATCCCATGATCACAGACTCATGTCTGTGTGACCCATAACCTCCAGGCTCCCGAGTGCCCTCAGACAGACCCACTGCTTGTTCTGGGGCTCGAGGAAGCCCCTATCTAAGACTCACTTTCAGGTGGATGTACCCCACGCGTGCAGAACGATCTTTTGCACATTTATTATTGCACTTAGCAGCACCCTCCTCCTCTAGGATTGCTTGGTGCCCATGGGCCGACCTCAACCCCTAAATGACCACGAGTCTTGGGCCACGCTTTTCCCCATGGGCTGGCCTGGCTCAGAACAACTCTTTCCCTCTCTGAGGTGAGCTGAGCATCCCAGGACACTGCAGGTGAAATACAGCCCCCTGGGGTGGGGGGGGGGGGGAATCGTAGGTGCTGACCATCACCATCCATCCATGTATCCCACCATCATCCAACCAAGGGATCCCAGAATTGGGGGCAATGTTGACAGAAGTCGGGGTGGCCCAGGAAGTGAGGTGGAGAACTAGGACGTGTGGGGAGACAGAGGTAGGTGTGTGACAGGCCCTTTCTCTGCGGGCGCAGGAGTGGTGTTCAGTATCCTCTAAATGGCTGTCCCAAGGTGTGAGCGTGCAGTCTCCTCACACGTAGAGACAGCTCCCCTCTGCCATGTGGAGGGGTCTCCTCAATCTGCCCCCCTTCCTCTGTTCCTGAGCCCACAACGCCTTCAGCTCACAGAGGTCCAGGTGGGCTTCTCACTATGACATGGAGCTGCTTGAGGCCAGCCTGGTCCCCCAGTCCTGCCCCTGAGTCAGAGCTCATCTCCCCAAGGGGGGGGGGGCTAAAGCCTGGAGTGACAGTGAGTGTGGAAATCGTGGGAACTGTGGGGTGGGGATCCTGCCTTCAAGTGCTGCTTCCGGGTCTGCTGCCTGCTGTGCATGAGCTGCCCTGAGCAGTCCTGTGTGTTCTGCCCCCGCTGGGTCCAACAGGGGCTGGGTTGAGGCCTCAGACCTGAGCAGCTGGGACATCGGTGCTGACCGAGAGGAGACAGAGGAAAGGCTGAGCAGTGCGGCCGAGCTGCCCCTCCCTGGTCTGCCTTCACCCCCTCCTACTGCCCAGCAACCTAAGCCAGAAGAATCTGGAAAGTTAGGATGACCTTGTCCTTTGGGGGTGAGAGAAGAAGGAGGGGACTGGTGGTCTGGGTTCCCCAGGTCAGTGGCCTGAGTCCTGGACAGAGGGAGGCTGGCTGGGATTGGGACCCCCCACACTTCCTTCCACTCTCCTCACCCTCATCCACGCCCATATCTCTCTCAGCTCTGAGCTCTACTTCACATTCAGAGACACAGAGAAGAGAGGACTCGGGAGGTCAATTGGAGGTCTCAGATCCCTGATGAAGCCTGGCTTCTGCACAGCCCTCAGACCTCTGCTTTGTGAGGAGGGACAGTGCCCACAGACTGGGCCACTAAAGGAATTCTCACACATACAACCTGGCATGGGGCCCCGGCACCCAATGGAGGTGGGCGGACCACTGCTGGGTTGAGTGTGGTTTCCTCCATTGGGCGGCCTCGCCTTCCTAAGGGCCCCCTCACCACACCCCTCCTCAACCTCTAGGGCCACTTCTACCTGCAGGGTAGACTAGCGACCCTCTGTGCCAATGCTTGTGACCTTGTGCCACTAAGTGACATGAGAGGAAATGGCACCTTGACAAAGGCTCTCTATCTCTCCCCTCTCTCTCTATCTCTCCCCTCTCTCTCTCTCGCTCTCTCTCTCCCTCCCTCTCTTTCTCCTCCCCCTCTCTCCCTCTCCTCCCCTCTCCCCTCCTTTTTCAACTTCCTGTCTTCTTGATGTTTATGCCCAGGGGTAAAGGGGGAGGGGTGGGGAGTGGTCCGTGGGTGGGGGTGGAGGCAGTGGACCTCTGTGCATCTGTGCCAGGTGGCAGGCGGCCAGGCTCGGGGGTGAAGCCCTGCCCCATCCTCTTCTGCACAGTCTGAAGCCGTTCACCATCCTTTGGGACTTTTGTGTCCAGGGGGTGTGGAAAGGGCTGCCCACCCTACTCTTGACCCTCTCTCAACAACTCGGGGCTGTGTGCCCGCCACAGTCTCACTACTTTCTTCTCTGCTTTTTGGCTCTGGTGGGGGCAACTCCTGTTCCCTGATACCCTGCAACTGCCCTCACGGCTCCCCCCTACTCACCCCTGTCTCTCTCCTCACCCTGAGCCACCAGCCTGTGTGCCTGGAGAAAACTGGAACTCGGGCCCCCTCCTTTAGCCTCAGCAGCATCCTGGGGCTGCACCCCATCTCCAGAGAGGCAGCCAAGGGGCTGCCTGGGCGGGGGAGGGGGTCGGGAGTGGCCTGAGGTTGGGGGGCGGAGGTGGGGGAACCTTTGTGAGTCTGTGCCCGGTGGCAGGGGGCCAGGCTGGGGAGTGAAGCACTGCCCGCAGCCCTCCCAGGGAAATGTGATTTCCCCGTGAGTGAAGCAGACTGTGCAGTGTGGAAATTGGCTCTTTCTGAGCGAGTGGCGGCTGCTCTGGAGTTGGCGGGCTGGGGCCCGCGGGAGGCCGTGCCGGCCCCTGGAGTGAGCTGGGAGCAGCCATGTGCTGAGAACTCATTAGGGATAAATCAAAGCAGTACCAGCATGAAGCCAGCACCCTCCCCCCACTCCCTCTGCGACCCCCCACGAGCTTCCCTCCTCCCAGCCAGCCTCTGTGTGTGTGTGTGTGTGTGTGTGTGTGTGTGTGTGTGTGTGTGTGGTGGGGTGGGTCCACCTGCATGCCATAGTCACTGGCTTCCCAGGTTCAGGAGGTGACCCCGGGCAGGTGGCCGTGGGCAGTGAGAGCTGTGCCCTGGTGCAGGTGCCTCTTTCTCGAGTTTGTCTTCTGTGTGTTGGCTGGGTGGGGATGCGGGGGTCGCACGCCTCACTCCCAGCCCCAGGACTGGCCCCCAGGAGCAGGGACAGAGACACACATTCCACCTCAGCAGACACTTTTTCATCCCTTTCTTTGACCTCCTGGCCCCCCCCCCGCAGAGTGAGGACCCCAGGTGCTCCCTAACCCCCTCTCCCATCATTATATTATTGTGGGGAGATGAGAATCCCCAGGCCCTTGGGCCAGACTGTACCATCAAAGGTTTCTCTGGCCAGTGTGTCCCGAGATCCCAGGTTCAGAGCCAGGGCAGAAGGGAACCAGCAAGAGACCAGCCGGTGCTTCCAAGCAAGCACCCCCCTCCCCTCCCCACACACACATGGACATGGAGGAGAA